CAATGCATATGTGGCTAGGGGATGTAGCAAGAGTGTGCATACAGGCTATAGTGTGTGTGTGTGTGTGTAGGTGATGTAGTGTTTGTAGAAAGTGTGTGTTTAGGGGTGTAGTATGTGTTTGCTTCCAAGAAATCTAGTGTGTGTATAGGGGATCCAGAGTGTGTATGTTAGGAGTGTAGTGTGTGTGTGTGTATATTTATATTATATAAATATGTTTGGAAGTATTGTGTATGTGTGTGCTGCAGTGTGTCGGGGGGGTTCTGTGTGTATGTGAGGGGTGTAGTGTTTATGTGAGGGGTGCAGTATATGTGTGTGATGGATGATGTGTGTGAGGGTGCGGTGGGTGCTGTGTGTGAGGGTGCAGTGTGTGTGAGGGTGCTGTGTGTGTGTGGGTGCTGTTTGTGTGTGGGTGATGTGTGTGTGTGGGTGCTGTGTGTGAGTGTGCTGTATGTGATTGATGTGTGTGAAGGTGCTGTAGGTGATTTGTGTGTGTGGGTGCTGTGTATGATGTGTGTGAGAGTGCTGAGTGTGATGTGTGTGAGAGTGCTGTGTGTGGGTTCTGTGTATGATGTGTGTGAGATTGCTGTGTATGATGTGTGTGATAGTGCTGTGTGTGATGTGCGTAAGAGTCAGGGACGTATTAGCCGCGAGGCAAACAAGGCATTTGCCTTGGGCGGCATTTTTCAGGGGGCGGCAAAAAACGCCGCCCCCCAAATGCCCAGGGCAGATGCCTAGTTAGCCTTGCGGCTAACTGACATCCCGGGCGGCCGGCGAGGGAGCACTTCCCATGAGCTGACTGCTCAGCTCCCTCGCGCACCGCAAAGTGAGGCTGGGAGCCGGAAGATGGCGTCATCTTCCGGTTCCCAGCCTCACTCTGCAGCCGACGCGCGAGGGAGCTGAGCAGTCAGCTCATGGGAAGTGCTCCCTCGCCGGCCGCCCGCCCGCCCGCCTGCCAGCGCCGCCCGCCCTGCAGCCACTGGACCACCAGGGAGAGAGACCCCCCCCCAGCACTCCCAAAGGTAAGGAGGTTGGGGGGGATTTAAATTAAAAAAAAAGTTAATGTGTGTGTGTGTGTTTGTGTCTGACTGTGTGTGTTTGTGAGTGTGTGTGTGTGTTTGTGTCTGTGTATGTGTCTGACTGTGTGTGTGTTTGTGTCTGACTGTGTTTGTGTCTGTGTATGTGTCTGACTGTGTGTGTGTGTTTGTGTCTGACTGTGTGTGTGTATGTGACTGTGTGTGTCTGTGTGTGTTTGTGTCTGACTGTGTGTGTCTGACTGTGTGTGTCTGACTGTGTGTGTGTGTTTGTGTCTGACTGTGTATGTGTGTGTCTGACTGTGTGTGTGTTTGTGTCTGACTGTGTCTGTGTATGTGTCTGACTGTGTGTGTTTGTGTATGTGTCTGACTGTGTGTGTGTGTTTGTGTATGTGTCTGACTGTGTGTGTTTGTGTATGTGTCTGACTGTGTGTGTGTGTGTATTTAGAAGGTGGGGCGGGGGGAAGGGTTGGGTGGGGGTGGCGCGGGGGGGAGGGGGGCGCCTGAGTTTTGTCCTGCCTAGGGCAGCACAAAACCAGGATACACCACTGGTAAGAGTGCTGAGTGTGATAGTGCTGTGTATGATGTGTGAGAGAGTGTTGTGTATGATGTGTGTGAGAGTGCTGAGTGTGATGTGTGAGAGTGCTGAATGTGATAGTGCTGTGTATGATGTGTGAGAGAGTGTTGTGTATGATGTGTGTGAGAGTGCTGAGTGTGATGTGTGAGAGTGCTGTGTATGATGTGTGTGAGAGTGCTGTGTGTGATGTGTGTGATAGTGCAGTTCACTCTCGCGAGATTGGGGGCATTGCCATGGCCGGGTTGTCCTCTCCCTCCCCAGCCGCATGTCTATTCAAGTGGGCTGGTGAGGGAGATCTTTGATCTCCCCACCGGCCCGTCATTGAAAACAGCGGTGCCGGCGCTCGGATAGTGCTGGCCCTGCAGGGGCTGTCAGGGGAGATCCTGTGAGCTCCCCTGCCGGCCTCTGCCCATGGCCACCGCGGCCCAGCGGGCATTTGCCTGGTGTGCCCGATGGCCAGGCCGGGCCTGCATGAATACGTGACATATTTCTGAGGTAAGTGGCATAGGTCAGAAAAAAGCATGGATGCTCCTTACCTTCCAGTAGCAAAAAACATGCAAAAGTTGAGTAAAATCTAAATTCTTTGAAGCCTGTCCAATGACCACGCTATTTAACTCCTTTTTGTTCTGATTGACAGCTGAGCACAGAGTTCCTGCTCTGTGCTATAAAATGTAATGCACAGTGTTCTAGATATTTCCACCACTAAGCATTGTGACGAAGTGCCCTTCGCCACTTGTGCCTGGAGGGGACTACTGGCTAGCCTCCTGCCTTCCGACTATGGCCAATGTGCTGATAGCGGTATTTTCCCCTGCAGAAAGGTTTATTTGTGTATTTCTGCTGGGGCGTTCTGGACTTTCAGTATGGTAGTAGTGCTATCCCAGATAGCTATGCCATGGAGCCTATTTGTGTAACAAAAGACTATGGAAAAGACTTTGGCTCCATGGCGATTGAATTGTATGTATGTAATCTGAGCGCCATTCAATAATAATGTGCACTCAGATCTAAGCTATCTGGGGATATGTTGCATGTATATGTTTTATATAGTAATTGCAACATTGTGTAATTGTATGTCTTTTTGTAACCATGTGGTTAATGGAGTCTTGCCTCTGTCCTGGGAGATAATTTAATTACTTCCCAATTATCTCCAGGATAGAGAGGAGGGATTGTGATGTCACTGTGGGAGTGTTTTGTTTGTATTGTCTGTGATTGGTTATACTGGATCCCACCCTGTGGGATGTCCCCTTGCATGGGGACTTGCTTAAAAGCCAGTGTGTGGTCATTAAAACCAGATCATCATGTACCTTTCTTGAAGCCTTGGCTCATGTTTGGGGGAAGGGATACCTACACTCTGGGGATTGCTATAATCACTTACTCCCCAGAGTAAGCTCTTGCAATAGCTTGATTTGTCCCTGCTACGCTCTCTGGATTTAGTAAAGGTTCACCCACTGGGAGCTAGATCCTGGTTGTAGATCCACGGTGGGTGGAAACGGCGAGACCCCGGCGCAGCTGTATTGCTGGAAGTGGGGTCTGCAGTGCTGATGGTGTCGGTTAGAGTGCTTGGAGTCCTTGGCAAGCGCTAGGAGCATCGATTGGCGGAGGTACTCTGTCGGAGTGCCAGCGTTCCGTCACAAGCATAATTTAAGACTGGATTCCTTATTTTACATTTGTGGATTATTTAAAAACTATTAAAAAAAAAAAAAAAAGCCTTTAATTGGCACAAGCTGGCTTCTTGGAAGCAATGACACAGCAAGCCATATATCTGTTTTTGTATTGCTACATTATCTTCATTGTCAGCCATGGAATAAGTCATGCATCTTCCCTTCCTAATACTGGTTGTTATTGTGTTAACCCATTAAATGATTCAGTGTTTATTAACATACAGAGATCTGACAAATATAGCATCAAAGGACCACTATAGGCACCCAGACCACTTCAGCTCAATGAAGTGGTCTGAGTGCCAGGTCCATCTAGGGTTAAACCTTCAGCTGTCGACATAGCAGTTTCAGAGAAACTGCTATATTTACACTAGGGTTAATCCAGCCGCTAGGGAGGGGGGAGAAGAAAACTGGCAGGAGGGGGAGAAGAAATTGGTAGGGAGGGAGAAGAAATGGGAGGGTGGGAGAAAAAGAAATTGGTAGGAGAGGGGAGAAGAAATGGGGAGGTGGGAGAAAAATAAATTGGTGGAGGGGATGAAGAAATGGGGAGAAGAAGAAATTGGTAGGGGGGAGAAGAAATGGGGGAGGGGGAGAAGAAGAAATGGTAGGGGAGGAGGGAGAAGAAGAAATGGGGAGGGGAGGGGGGAGAAGAAATGGGGAGGGTGGGAGAAGAAGAAATTGGTAGGTGAGGGGGGAGAAGAAATGGGGAGGGAGAAGAAGAAGAAATTGGTAGGGAAGGGAGGAGAAGAAGAAATTGGTAGGGGAGGGTGGAGAAGAAATGGGGAGGAGGGAGAAGAAGAAATTGTCAGGGGAGGGGGGAGAAGAAATTGGGAGGGTGGGAGAAGAAATTGGCAGGGGAGGGGGAAAAGAAGAAATTGGTAGGGGAGAGGGGAGAAGAAAAAATTGGTAGGGGTGGGGGGAGAAGAAGAAATTGACAGGGGGAGAAGAAGAAATTGGTGGGGGAGAAGAAATTGACGGGGGTGAGAGTGACAGGGGAGGGAGGGGCAATGAGAGTGGGAAGGGGGAGGGGAGAAGAGAGTGACAAGGGAGGGAGAGGGGGGAGAAGAGAGTGACAAGGGAGGGGGGAGAGATTGACATCCATCACACACACATGCAATGCACCCCTTGCACACAGAAAAACACACAATGCATTACACACACAGACACACACACACACACACAAACGATGCAACCCTTACACACAATGCATCCCTTACACACACAGAAACACACAATGCATTCCTTACACACACTCAATGCACCCCTTACACACACTCAATGCACCCCTTACACATGCACACACTGCATCCTGTACATACACAGAAACACACCTTGCAGCCCTTACACATACAAACACAGATTCACACAATGCATTCCTTACACACATATCAGGACATCCCCTACACACTCCACCCCCTGTGAACAAACTCATTGGTGGAACATGAAGGTGGACCCTGGGACCCAGACCTTGAGCTGTGTAAAGGGCCCCGAAAAATGGAGCTGCTTACCGTTCTCCCAGAACATTGATTTTTGTGAGCACAGTTACAAACAGCCTCCAGAGAGCCTGTTCTACACCAGACCAGTGGAGCCAGACTGCAGCTAGAGCCCATTATCATCCTCATCTCATTGTAAATAGGCAATCTAGTATCTTATTCGTGGCACTAATCTCTAATTTACCTCACATTAAAGAAACACTATAGTCCCCAGAACCACTGCAGCTTAATGTAGTTGTTCTGGTGTCTACAGCCTGTCCCTGCATGCCTTATAATGTAAACACGGTGGCACTGTAGCACTGGCGTTAGTTAACATGGCAGATCATATGGGTGGAGCATTGTGATGTCACAGCATGGGGCAAACTTTACTTTTGCCTAGGGCGGCAAAAATCCTTGCACCGGCCCTGCTTACATTCATGTGGATGTTTCTTTGACATGTACCACCTACCACATACAGCTATTCATGGCAATGGTGTTCCCTGATGGCAGTGGCCTGTATCAACAGAGTAATGCTTCCTGCCACAGTGCAAAAATTGTTCAATTTGACAATAGTTCAAGGTGTTGCCTTTACTTCCAAAATCCAATTGAGCATCAGTGGGATGTGCTGTAACAACAAATCTGATACATGAAGGCCTCACCTGGCAAACCTTTGCTAATGTCTTGATGCCAAATACGATTCAGAGGTCTTGTGAACTGAGTCTATGCCTGAACGCATCAGCGCTCTTTTGGCAACATGTGGGGGACTTACATGATGTTAGGCAAGTGGGTTTAATGCTGTGGCTGATCAGTGTACATAAATATATTTAGATAGATCGATTGATAGATATAATTTTTACCCTTAAACACCTCACATTTTCAATAGTTATTTATACAATAGTTGTGACAATGTAGTGACTGTTGCAATCAAGCAAAGTAAAATTCTGCTGTTTGAAATAGCAATCTTTGCCCATGCAAACTAGAGACAAAATAAAAACACACAAAAACACATTCCCTTTCACCTCCCTGCTGTAACAGAAAGCACAATAAACAAAATGAAAAAAAAAGAAAAACTAATTGAAAGCTGTTTCAGATAAAGGAGATGAACAAAAGTGTTTGTCGTTGCTAAACGAAATGTTCTTGTCATCTGCCAACATCTGTCATACAATCCACACAGTAGTTAGTTTTTTGGGATCATGATGCATCACTGACAGGTTTTAAAAAAAAAAAAAAAAAAATCCTGGGTCCACCAAAAGAAGAGGATTTGGGAATTGAGAGAAGATTTTACATAGCTTCACATTATTTATACAGCTGGAATGTTTATAAACAGAGCAGACTGTAACAAGAGTAAATTCTGAACCACATCAAGCATTTCCCTTGCTGTGCAAGTCATTATAGCATAGAAAAGGGCGTTGTGCTGTTGTCTTCAGACATTACAAGGCCACAACTAAGCATCTTAGAAACGTATCCTGCACATTTTTTTTTTTTCAAATGTGGAAAAACAGCTATTCTCTTTTCATAGTTTTAAGCATATTGTTCCAGTTGGTGTGTTCCGAAACATCTGCTGCTTAAAAAGAAAGAAACAATAAAATCCTTTTTTTTTTTTTCTCTTTTGTCTCCCACCTTAATTTTTATTTTTTTATTATTATTTATATTAAACTTTTTGCATTCTTTACTTTATGGTTATGAACTTGGAGGGTTGTTTTTTTTTTTTGGAGCCTCTGCAGCAGGG